CGCAAGTATTGAATACAAATATGATCTGGAGAGCAGATGCCATGCTAATTTCTCTAGTGTCTCGTTGCTTTACGTTTCACGGTCGTTTATTCTTTTCTAAAGGAGAAAATCTGTTTTTGGATTTCCCACTTGTTGTTTCTCAGGACTCCCGTGGCCTGATTCCTGGCCCCTTAATAATACACTTACAATAAGAGACCTCGACAGGATAATAAGTGTCATGTATAATTATCTCCAATCTGCCAGGTTTCCCTCCCAGTGGTTCCTTTCAGCACTTTGTGCAGGCCGGCGAGACCAGATACAAAGCAGTGAGGGCACACAGAGAAAGGCAAGGCTAAATGGCACAGGAGACACACACACACGCGCGCGCACAGAGGAAGCAAACCTGCCTTTGGGCTTTGCCCTGTTCTCAAAGACAACGACCTGCTCTTTCTCTGCCTCTAAAACATGACTCCCAACCAGTGCTTGACCTTTCTGAAGAGCAAACAATCCTCTGCCTGAGTAGGCCACAACTCACAGAGCTCTTCAACAGACAGGGGGAGAGAAAAAAAACTAAGTTGGGACTGATTTAGAAACAGAACACTAGCATGTGATAATTAAAAAGAGAACAGGAAAAACGCTTAGCAGGATTAATTAAGCACAACAATCACAAGATGTGCGTGAGCCGCAGCCTGGCATAGGAGAAGACTAATAAATGCCTGCACACTCAGCAGAGCACCGAGATGGGGAAGATGCATGGGAAAGACATGAGAGATTAGCCCAGATGAAGACGGAGCAGGCCCCAGACCGGACACATGCCTTCACTGATGAGGCGTACCAATCATGGCACTTGGCATGAAGCAGAGCTCCTTGAGTACACACGGTAGATGGATACGTTTCATCTTCCAGCCTTGTGAGATGAGTAAGCCGATCGTGGCCTGGCTCTCTTCCACGTAGCCCCACATTACAATAGATGAGAAACAGGAGAGACAGGCTGGAGAGCAGAGGGCTTCTCTCATAAGCAGCCTGTTTAATCAGACACACGCACACATGCAAGCCGAAGGCAGAATGGCCGGCATGCACGAGCTCTGCAAATGTCCTGCTGTGGCCTCAGCAGAAAAACAAAACACCCCAACAATCTATCTGAATGAATCCCTCTGTCGCTCTCATCTTCTCCCTCTCTGAAATTCTTTCCCCACCGTCCTCCCGCTTCAATCCCTTCCCTCACAGTTGCAAAGTTTTCCATCTGCTCTCTGAATTACTGCCCCTGATCCCACAAAGATGGAAATCAACCAGTCATTTCAGGAGTCTGATTTAGGCCCAATCCTTACTGCCCGTTCATATTCCATCCGCAGATGGTGGCCTGGCTCCTGCAGGGAACACTTCCACTTGGTGGATTTACTGCAATTCTGTGGTGCGAGGCAACATTTTCTACATGATGGGTATTTTTTTTCTTTCTTTTTTTCCAGCAATAATTCACAAATGCATCAGAGGGTCTTTTTTTCCCCCTCGCCATTCAGTTAGAAGCTTATTACAGTGAGCACGTCTAATGGACTCTCAAGAACCAATATGTAACAGCTACAAATAGGCGCCGGGAGATGAATAATGCTACAATAATAACCTTTTGCAATAAAGAAAATAGTCAAACTGGCACAGCATAAACATTTAAATAGCCTGGGAACACTTCTTTTGAAATAATATAGCGACTGAATTATTTTAGCCACATATATACCGTTTTATTGTTGTCTGTTTGGTACATGTATCAATACATCTGCGAATGCTTGTATAGGCGTGTGTTAACTTTTTAGTTAGTCAGTTTACTATGATGCATGATTAAGTTACATTACTGGGTTTTTTTTCTTAAAATTATGTAAAAGACGATCTGATTCTCATTGCAGCTCCATGCCCTCTATGCTTCTAAGTGCAGGTGTTTCCATATTACACATCCCAGGATCGGTGCTTTTGTTTATGCAGTGTAAACCCGAGGCCCCGAGGTGTTATTCATCCCATGCCATGCTTAAGCTAGACAGTCTGGGCTCCGCAGCCCTTTTCATCTTGATCTAAGCGTTAGCTTATTCAGGGAAATAAGCAAAAAAAAGGATATTCCGCCTTAACTTTAGATCAAACTGGGAAATGAGTCATGAGACGCGGGATAATTACACCACTCAGTTGACAACATTCAGTGCTAATAGAGGAGACAGATGGTAAGTGAACATTCGTTCTATTCCCTTAAGAGACAACAGGCGAGTGAAAGTGGCAGTTTGAGCTCCATAGGATGGAGGAAACGCGCTCATATAGCTGTACAACTGGAACGTCGACCGTCTACATGACGGGCTCTTTATGCGAATTTGATGCAAATGTCGTGCTTTTCTTTATTTTTAATCAAACACACTGCAGTGAGTCCAGTGCAGCAGATAGAGATAATAATCATTTCACTTGACGGCCTGCATTGACCCACAGCACAAGCAAGAAAGGGTTATGGATTGAAAGATATGGATCGGAAGAGGTGAAAGGGGCGAGAAATGAAAAGAGAAGTGAGCCCAAATTGTTCTAAAGCATCCAAGGTGGAGACGTGGTCCTCGCCCAATCACAGCAAAAGAGACTCTCTAAAGATTGTGAGATTCAAAGCTGCATTTATGCGTGCTCCCTAACTTCGACTCCCACAGGATTCAGGTAGGTGGGGGAGCCATGAGGGGAAGTCAAGCCAGGGGAGAGGAGGAGGAGGAGTGGCATCAGTCACGTAGAAGAGAAGCTACAAAAACTGGCAACTAAACTGTTACCTATTAGCAGCTAATGGGAAGGTGGAAGACGTCAAGGACTTGCAACACTCCAGTTAACAAACTTTGAAAAAAAAAAAGAAAAAGGAACGACAGCATGTACATTTTTGTTGACAGACTCCCTCACACAGCGTTGTGTAGCGAAGCGTTGCTGTTCCATTCAGCTCTTTTAATTACCTGTGTGTGATTTAATCCTTCATATGTCTCAGCCCATTCCTCTTAATGATGTGCTCCATTCAGCTCTCCACAAAACATATTATGCTTGGTTTGTTGGGGGAGGGTTTTTTTTTTTTTTTTTAGTGCTGTTTTTGTTGCTGCTGCTTCTTTCACTTACACAGAGCATCAGTGGCTTCTCCCTTGTCTCGTGAACCAGTAAGCAGGGCAAGAAAGAAATGCAAATCCTGGCAAAAGTAATAATGGAAAACATCAAGCCAATTTCCTTCCGCAGGTGACAAGCGCTGTGGTGCATATTTATACAGTCTGCCGTGTAAATGATATCCATGTTAACGCCTTATTAGCCTTATTAGGTTTAATGCACATTGTGCATATGCATGTGTGTGCATTAATTCAAACAGGCCCAAGTCGTTTCAGGCACTGAGAAAAACAAATAATCCAGAACACCTGAGTTTATACCTGTATCTGAATAAATGTTTAATTCCTTAATATGACATTTATTCTCATTGCTTTTTTTTTCTTTCTCCTTCCACCTTTCAAATGAGGCCGTTTTTTCTCCATTTCTTTTCTAAAGATTTCATTTATAAGGTATAATCCAATCTCAAGAATAAACTAGAGGAAAAAGTCAGACACTGCAACCTATTCATCTGAGAGAAAAAAATCCTCACGGTCTCCCAATCCAGCCTCGCAATAGACGAATAGACTTCTTCCAACAATAAAATCAGCCTCTAAAATGTTCTCTCTTTTTTAACGTGTCAGTTTTGAAATTAAGAGCCGCTTGGTGAGCTTTCTGCAGCCAGACAGCCCACCTCGTCCAAGGAGAAACAGGAGCATCTCACCACCTTGAGATAAAAATGTGGCATCTGTGAAAAAGACTCGTCTAATCCCAGAGTGCACGCGACAATTAACCAGTAATCACAGCAGTTTCACATTCAAACTTTTTAAAGAGTCTCCGACTCCCCCTGTTTAAACCGACGCCGGTGTGGTTTTGGTTTTTGACGGGGGGGTCTGGATGTCATCAAGGATTGGGTCAAGGCTGTGGGGATATGAGAGACTCGCGCACACATGCTCTGCGGGGATCTCTGATTTTATTTTTCGTTTATAAGGAGGAAAACCGTCGCTCTGAATGAACTGATTTCTAACTTTGGATCGCAGACACCGTTCAGGCTACCTGGCGCCTTTAAATGGGGCTTGAGCGATAACAGAAAGCAGAAGCGGCGCAGCGCAAAAGGGCTGTGCTGTTTAGGGAAATGGAAGCTTTTTCCCCCCGACCCAGAGCACCCATTCGCAGTCATCCTAACCACCAACCTTTGTTTTTTTGTTTTGTTTTTTCTTCCTTTTATTAACCTTGGAAACTTGAAGCTTCAGTTTATAAAAGTTATTGCTCGTAGCTTCTGCTGGAGGACAGCGTCCCACGGTAAGTCGTGGAAAGGGGCAGAAAGGCGCAGATAAACGCAGCAGCGTGTTTTGGAGGAACAGGAGCACAAAAGTTGCCACCTCCACCAGATTCGCTCCGCTTTTTCTTTCAGTGGACTTTCACCCGCATGGTAAAACTTCCCAAACGTGTCCACGAGATCGAGATGAACGTGTGCCTTACCTGTTGGCCCCTCGATGCCATCGGCGTAGATCTGAACAGTCAAAATTAAGAGAAAGGCGCAGGTGTTCATCGTGTAGATGATTTAGTCCACTTTAAATGTGCAGAAGAAATCATTTCATTTACTTGGTGCGATCCGGCAGCGCAGGCAGAGCGGAGCCCATTTAGTCCCCCCCCAAAAAAAATCTGACTGAGTGGAGTTTCGGAGACACTGAAGCAGACAGGGCAGAGCTAGTTCTGCAAACTGACGTCAGGGTAAACATTTCAGGGGAGAGATTTCTTTCTCAAGCCCACTTTCAGTCCCAGCCTCCACTTCGCCCTCCGCGGGATTCAGAGTATGAGCCGGGCGCCTCCAAGCGGTCAGATCTATCAATGGCACCGAGGTGCTCAAACGTCGGCCAAGCAAAACCCCACAATGTGAGAGATCGTGTGCCTCTATACCTGTATGTTTGTGAAAACCCTTTAGTTGGCAATCACTTTTTTGCGACTCTTTTATTTGATCTCACTGCCTCAAAGTGCAATCTCATGTGTAAAAGTAGATTGTAAGATTTAAAGAAAGGTTAGTCACGCTGCTTTAAGAGGTCCAGACACAGAGATTAGATTTGGCTCAGACAGTGAGATACTTTTCATATATTTAATGTTAAGGAGAAGCTCTCTAATATTCCGTGGCCAGAGGCTCCAAACACAGGTACAGGAGTCTGATAACAATGCCTACAGGCGGAGGAATAGCCTACTTATTATTCCAGCTAAAGCTACATCACAGCACACAGTTGAGAATTAAAACGAAACATTTTAATTTCACTCCTGTTTAAATATGCTAAATCGTGTTTTAAAATCATATCAGCAACCTGAGGACTAATGAATCAAATAATGCACAAACTATCCTGGAAAAAAAGATTTTCTTTGTCATGTTAGCGACCGTTTTACAGCTGAGGTAAGACGTATACTCACACAAGACAGACAGGTAACCATGCCTTCACGCCTACCCATGACAGGTGCAAAGCATATCTCTCCATAAATTAGGTGGTCTGTCATGTTGTGTGCATTGAATTTGCATTTAATGAGACTACATTTTCTCTCCAACCCCAGCTGGCTGTGTTTGTTGGAGTCCACCTGATATAATGGACGGCAGAAATCAGGTATCATGCAGAGTGAAATATAAAACACAGATGGAGCGACTACATGGAAAGAGGTAAGAACCCCACCGTGACTTTGATACGTATAAATGCATATCTGGTTGTCTTGCATGTCATGGTCATCCTGTCTGGTGTGTGTGAAAACAACAACAATTCATCTTTGAATATGAATTCCTGGATATTCTTTCCATCCAGCAACGTGTGCACTTGTATTTGATTACAGCTTTTTCCTCCCAGCCTAAACGTCTCGCGTAAGCGCTGATGTGACAGTCGCTCTTGTTCAGGTTAAAAGCTGACACGTTTAGCTGCTGCTCCAGGACCCCCAATTTGATCAAGATGCCATTAAGCAGGCTAATCGTCATTCATTTTGCTGCGATGTGTGAGCACTAAGGCCGTGGATTAAATTAAAGGTGGCCACAGAGATGCATCTAAGTCCAAACACGAGAGCACATTGCAGACTTTAATGCTGTTAGCCCGGAATGACAGATGAATGATACGACGCTCAGCCAATTACTTAATTTAACCAAAGGAGCACAATGTATGTCAGGCTAACAATTCTAATTACACCTGCGTGATGCACAGCAGACCTTATCTTCCAAGTATTCGAGCCACAGAGCAGCAATTTATATAAACAAGCTCAGAATTCTCCATTATAGTTTAATTTGTGTTAAACTTAATAGAATGTTGCAAAATACTGTTCGAATAATCCAACAGCAGGACAGGTGTCAGCGGAGATGCTGAGAACCGCACTACGATGAAAGTCATTTTATCAGCTGCCACTCACGTTGCCTCACAAACAACTACATCTGCCCAGGCAGTGTTGTGCATGAATTGATAATAACATATCATCAGAGTTCTGAGAGAAGCTGTCAAAGGCAAATCATCAGCGTCTATCACGCGGCCTTGGCATGCAGCTCGAAAAGCAAACAAACAGCGAAACCCAACGGGGAGGCAAACATGAGAAGGCTACTGTACTTCGCTGTGTGTGGCCTAAAACGCCGAAGATCAGTCAGTCAAACCGGTGATACCTTTAAAAACAGGACAATTTCCACCGGCTGTCAAAAAGAAACTGCAAGTCCAACACAGTGATGAGGGAACTCACAGCAGCAGTGTTTCGTCCTCTGCAGGCGGATTAGCTGTTCAAATACACTCGTTTCTGTTGTGCGGAGGTCAGTAAGGTAACAGGTGTCCACGTGAGACGTTAGAACAATCTGACTGTGAGAAGTAATGAGATGAATGAAGCCGCGGAGATTAAAACCAGCAGGGAAAATTTGAATAAACAATGACCTCTGTGCGCAATTTATTGGCTTCCTGCCTGCACGGTCAGTAGATTAACCACCAATGTTTTCCAATTTCCATCAACGCCCGGACTTTAAAAAGGATCAGTAAATTGAGTGGTGTGAAGTTAGCGTTTGAAGAAAACTCACACGCTGCTGCTGTTAAAAATTCAAAATGTGAAGCTTTTTATTCAAAATGCATTCATTATCGCTCAAGGTCATTTTGATGGCTATTTCTCCCTTCTTATTTTTAACTAGCAAGGGGATAGATACTGCAAGATTCTGTATTTGTTAGCACTCAGTGTAAGGGGAGTGATTAGAAACTGGGAGCCATACATCTTCAGGCAGGATGTGTCTGCAGGTGGTCAAATCCTAATCGCAGCCTGAGTGAGAAATATTTCACAAAATCTAAAAGATATAAATCGCAAAACACAAGTAACAAAATAAGTATTTTACAAGTTGCTAAAAAAATCTATCATTAATTAGTGACAGTGTTCAGCTAGAGGAAGAGTGTCATCAAAGACGGCAGACTTGTAAAGGATTGGAAACACTGATACTATGTGGGTGATAATAATAATAAAAAAACAACCAGACCAGCAACCTTCATTGTCACCTGAAATGTCAATGATTTTTTCTGTTAAGTGCTGGTGTCATATAAAATCTCAAAAAGCAGTAATAAAACTTCGTATTGCAAAATAGGGCATATTATGACACCCGTAATGACTCGAACAATGGTTTGGGGCAGTCGGTCACTTAATCGACGAGTCGTTTCAGTTGTATTACCTCTGATGCTGTAAAATCCAGCATTTCCATTTAAGAACGTTAAAAAGTGTCTGTGTGAGAAGACAACCCCACTAACCGCTGTCTGTACTGCATATTTCACTGTGGAAAAAGTAGAGTTTGACAAAGTCATATTGTTCTTAATTGTTTCCCCGCTCCGTGTCTTCTTTCAGTTCCCGGCACATTCCCTCAATTAGTCCCGCAGAATCCCTCTGGGGTCGTCTGCCTCACTTACTTTTATGTTTCTTTGATGCCTTTCTCCCCATAATCACCTTTTCAATGTCGTGCAAGCCTTCTGTCGCCTCGTCCCTTCTAACAGGAGATCCCTCCCAAAACTTTACACTCCCTTGTCCAGGTTCTTTGTGGATCCCTGATGTGTCCTTTCTCTTCTTGCCTTCCCTTCCCAGCCCATGAAACTTCTGGTTGTCTGCCTCACTGATCTCTCGGTCCCCCTCCAGCGTGGCACTGTGGACATCCCTGTCTGTCCTGCCAGTTTCAGCATGACAGCGCTGGCTGGTGTAGGCAGAGAAATGGGCAAAGAGCTGAGGGTTTATTGTGAGATGAGGGTAAGATGCAGCACATAAACCTGTGATAGAATGAGGCTGGATCGCTGTGGCTGATTTGACAGAGGGCAGCGAGCTCTGGGGATGGCTGCTCGTCTGGCTTTTACGCTGAGTTCGAGGGTGTTTTAGTGATGAGGCTTTTTTAGATCTCCCTTTATCACAGCTCTGCTTCCCCTTGTCCTCCGAGAGCTCTACACAAGAAGAAAATTATCATTAATTCGCTTCATCGGGGTATCTCTGCATGTGCCGCGTGATAGTTTTGAATGCTTTCTCACCACAAACACGGTTATGGATCTTTTTCTTTTCAGTCTGGCTGCGCCTCAGGTCTGTGGCTTGTTTCACCGAATCCAAAAGCCCAAACATCTCACACAAGGAATTAAGCAGCATGACATCTAACAAAATAATCAAGAGTCAGCTACAAGGCTTTTGAATGATTTGTCCACAATGAAGTCAGCTGTTTGCAAAATCAATAGCAATGAATTTTCAGAGATTTAGCTGGCGGGGCCTTTATTGAAAATCTTTTTGAAACCTGATTTTTCAAGTTTTGACTCAGCTGACGTTTTATTAACATCAACACTGAATCATTTTTCACAGTCCAGGGGTTAGATGGGTACCACTGTGGGCAATTACCTGTTTCCTGCAGGTTTCCGTTCTCACTGCGAAGCTCCACCCGCTTAAAAGTGCTGAACAGTTCATTCTGGAGGCTGGATAGGACCTCCCCCATCATCCCGCAGTCTGCCACACCCTTCCACAGAGACAACACCCCGTCTACAGGAGGTCAAATAGGTAGGGCGTTATAATGGGACATCAAGAAATCTATGCAAGTGTGTGCATGTTTGTCCTTTCTTTTTGTCAGTTTGTGTAAAAGTAAACAATGCTTTGTGTTGCTGTGGGGACAGGCAGCAAGAAAAATAGGGTTGGAGGTGAAATTTGGAGAGAGTCAGAGCTTTGAAAGAGGAAGAAAAGAGAGAAGAAAAACAGAAACAGAATATGTCAGGGTTGGATAAACACTGGGAACAAATATACAGAGATAAAGGAAATGGGAGTGATGCAGCAGTTGGAGAGAGGATGTCAAATATGTGACAGAGGGAACGACAAAAGAGTGTGAAAATGGGTCAGAAAAGAGGTGCTCCAAGAGGAGAGAAAGGAGGGCAAGGCGAATTTGAGAGTGAATGAAGAATTACTGGAGATCTGTGCAAATCTGAGCCAAAAAAAAGGAAAACAAGTCAAGCGCATGAAAGTGGTAAAAATGTCAAAGATGGTTGATATGAAATGCATGCAAATTCATGTTTGCTTAAAATCTGTCGAGATAAATGCAGAATGTCTGGTGAAGATATTCCAAATATCGTTTAAGGCCTTCTGAAGTTCAATTCATTCATTTCTTTACATCGTGCATTACAGAGAAGCAGCGTATTTCCTCAGCAGCTGATAGAGGAGTAGAGGTATAAGCTGCGAATTGGCTATATGTTTTAAGCCCTATGACAAGC